ATATATATATATATATATATATATATATATTAAATACTAATAATAATTAAATATAATATATTTTTAAAATTGATTTGATGTTTTGTGAATTTTAAAACCATTCCAATTCCCATCACATTCAACACCCCCCTATAAGAGGTGCCATTAGCACCCCCCTTAAAGAAAATATTGATGTTTATGATGTTTTACTTTCCGGATTAGCATGTACCACTTTGTTTTGATGATACTATCTTCGTCTTAAAATAAATGTTTTCATTTCTATTTTAATTTGTTTCAAAATAATTTTCTAATTTTAGAAGTAAATATTTAAATTTTTTATTCTACCTTAGTTACAAGATGAAAAGAATTTTCCCTTTCTATTTTTTAAAAGTAAAAATATTATTTAGTTTTCAATTTAATAAATTAAACAACGATTTTCGTGCATATGATTTGTTAACAATTTTGATTTTCGTTCCCGATCATTTGTAATTTATTACTATTTTCGTCTCTAAACTAATTCTTATCTTTAAGTACAAGAGATTAAAACAGTAAAAATTAAAAAAATATAACTCATATGACGAAAATAATGATGAACTGCAAATCATATAAATTTAAAAAACAGAAATAAAAATCATCTATACTATATTATAAAGCATTTGACATAAAATCTTAAAAACCATTTTTATGTATGAAATATTGTTTATTGATGCATATTACTTAAAATTAAAGATTACAAGTAAATTGTGCATAAATACAACTTATTAAAGCTTTATGTTTGAATTCGTGTAACTGACTATGGATAAACATACTCAAATAGAAGATAAAAATCTCATTTTAAATTATAAAAAATCTAAAATATAATTAAAATAATTATTAAGTTCTAATATAATATTTAAATATTATGTTTATAAAAAAATATATTATTAAACCTAAATTAAGTTACTTTGTTATGTTAAATTAAATTAAAAAAATACACAAACATAAACTTTTAATTAGTTAATTTGATACTAATATCGATATACATTTTCCAAATTTTACATGATATTTTATTTAAAAATAAAAACATTATCACTTTTTCAAAAACATATAAAATTTTATTATATCAACATGAAAAAAAAAAATTAAAATGAAAATATGTCTCAATATATTATACGAATATAGTTCTAATAAATTTTAGGAAAAAGTACAATAAAAACCAATGAACTTTCTTGTTTGGAATGATTAAGTCCTTGAACTTTTTTTGGAACAAATAAGTTCTTGAACTTTCCAAAACATGTTAAATAAGTCCTTGGACAATTTTTTGGCACAAATAAATTCTTGGACATTCTAAAATATGTTAAATAAGTCCTTAGACATTCCAAAAAATGTTAAATAAGTCATTGGACAATTTTTGAAACAAATAAATCTTTGAACAATCCAAAACATATTAAATAACTTCTTGAACTTTTATAGAACATGTTGGATACATTCTTATGACTTGTACAACTAGTTAAAATGGTAATTATTTTTTTGTAAATGTAAGTACTTTTTTGTTATATTTGTTTAATTTTATAGATCTAAATACTTTTTGGTTGAAAAAATATTTAGGGGCTTAATCGTTCAAAATATGAATGTTTATTGGGTTTTTTTCCGGATTTTTTTCCACTATTTTACCACTTTATTTTTTTCAAAAAGCTATTTAACATGTTTTAGATTGTTCAAGGACTTATTTGTTCCAAAAATTGTCCAAGGAGTTATTTAACATTTTTTGGAATGTCCAAGGACTTATTTGTTCCAAAAATTGTCCAAGGACTTATTTAACATTTTTTGGAATGTCCAAGAACTTATTTGTTCCAAAAATTATCCAATGACTTATTTAACATATTTTGGAATGTTCAAAAACTTATTTAACATGTTTTGGAAAGTCCAAGGACTTATTTGTTCCAAAAAAAAGTTCAAAGACTTAATCATTTCAAACAAAAAAGTTCATTGGTTTTTATTATACTTTTCCCTAAATTTTAAAGTGAAAAACGCTAATATAAATCTGTATGATTTGGGAACAACATTTTGTAAACGGATCCATCGTATTTAAGAAGGCTCTAACTTTCCAAATTTGAGCAATCGGAACTACCAAGAAAACTTGGTCGATAATCTACAACAAAACAAGTTGAGCAAAATCCCTCGATCATCGATCAGAGAAACACACACACACACGCCAACACCTCCACCTCCACCTCCACCTCCACCTGCTGCCACCAAATTCAGCTATCTCCCTCAAAACCCTCTAAAAAATTGCACCCACTACTACCAGTTTTCATTATCCAAATTCTTTCATTGTTTTCTTGATGTATACATGGTGAAGAAAATGGAGTTGTGAAAAGGAAAGCCAAAAGGGGTTTTCTCGAATGACGTTGCATAGTTGGAGGGATGCCTACAGTGGCATGTCGGCTGATAATATCAAGGGTTTGGTTTTAGCATTGTCTTCAAGTTTGTTTATTGGTTCCAGCTTCATCATTAAGAAAAAGGGTCTCAAGAAAGCAGGCGCTTCTGGTATTAGGGCGGGTAATTTCACCATCTTTTTGTAAATCATTCTTTAACTGACTTCTTTTATCGTTAATTATTAGTGGAGGATCTGTTCCTTCCCATCTAATGTATCTATCATCACCTGCGTTATTCAGTTCTAGATCAATTATCAGCTTTTGTTGCTTTAAATAAGGAATGTTAATGGCTGACTGACGGTTACTGGGGGTTCTCTGATTGAAATCTTTAGGGATATTTAGCTCAATGAAGCTGTTTTTGCAAATGATTCATAAAAATATTTCAAGTTTTTGCAGGAACAGGCTGTTTTGTACCTAGAACAAGGGGCAGGTCATTGAGCTAACAAGATTTTTAGTAGACTAGCACTTGAACCCTGTGACCTCTCCTGTCAGAATCATTCTTTGCTTCTTTTTTGTTTTTGGTTCTTTCAGATTATCTCATTTGATCTACAATAATTACATATATGTTTGCATGACCTAAGTTTAATGAAACACAGGATCCTTTTCTTGCCACTAAATAGTTGTTGCATTTGCTGGTGCTTGCCTCATTATGGATTCTCTTTTTACCTTTTATTTTCATGTATATATGCACCTCATTCCTTCTCTTGACCACAAAACTGATTCACATAATTTTGGGGAGCTCATGGGCAAGTGTTGCTTAAAGAATTTATTATTTCTTGAGGTGGATGAATAGCAGGAGTTTGGGATCTTGGTTTATATTTGGCATTTGCACATTTGGAAAAATTGCAATCGGAGCTACAAATTGATTTTGCTGTACCACAGGGTCTGATGTTTGAGGTTGTCTTTAGGGGATATCCTTATATTATCTATTGTATACAGTAATCACTTAGATAGTAAAATTTATTTGAATCTTCAAAATAGAAAAAGACAAATATGCATAGACCGACTAATGTCCTAATTTAGGGTGTTCTAGTTTATGGTGGTTTATTGAGATATCATGCATTTTATCCATCCTAATATACATGTGCTTCTTCTTGCTTCGTTATTATCTGCTTCTAATTCATGCTTCGTTATTATCTGCTTCTAATTCATGCTTTTCTATTCCATGCTAACAAGTTTGATCTTCTTGTTAGGAAGCGGAGGATATTCATACTTATACGAGCCTCTATGGTGGGTAGGCATGATAACAAGTGAGTTTGTTTATTTCGCGTTGCATTCAAATGTAATATGGTTGTCATCCATTTTCCATTAATATATCATTCGCAAACAAACAGACTTGTATTATACAGAATATGGGGGTGGAATCTTTTAGGAATGCTGGGGAAACGGTAAATTCTCCTAGGACTGAATTCTATTGAAGCATTTTGTAAATTAAGGAAGCTATACCTGCAAGTGCAGTCATTGTTAGAATTTCTGGGTGTTTCGATTGCTTGGATTACTGAAAGTTGTGATTTACTTTCAGATTGAAATATTTCGATATACAATCGAAACTTCAATCGGATAAAATTCAGTAATTCGAGCAGAGAATCAATGTTATGAATCTATTTGTACCCTCGAAAATCAAATGACCAATACAAAAAGAATTCGAAAACTGTCAAACGACAGTTTCAGAACCACCAAACCGGGTTTAAAAAACAGGGCCAAAACCGGGTTCAAAATCACAAATTCGGATTTTCGTGCATTTTCCATATAGTAACATTAACCCGAATAAAAAATTTCCAGCCAGGGGCTCTGTCCCTTGGACCCCACTACTAGGAGCGTTGCCCCTGGACCCCCGTCGTTTTTGAACATTTTAGATGATGTGATGTTTTAATTTTGAAACTATATTTCTAAACTCTAATTAATGCATATTATATATATAATTCTAAGAAATATTATGTTACCACTATTTTGGACCGATATATCACCGATATAGCCGATATATCGAATATCGGTCCTGACCGATATTTTGTATATAGACCGATATAACAGCATAGGTACCACCCTTGTTCAATATTTATCAAGATTACATTGGTCAACAAATTAATCCCATTACACTTAAATGATATTGGTGATACAAATCACCATCAATCCTCCCCCAAGTGTAATCTTGATTAACTTAAAGCAAAGTCATAACAATCAAAACTGATGCATAAATGAAATATCGTGACGATTGAATTTCACATTAGTATATTACTCATTCCAAATATTCGAATATCAGGGTGTCACTATGGATTGAACCCTATCTATTCACAATGAATACATGAAGATAATACACACAACAATTTACATACTCATATGTTCTAACTTGACAGTTGACACTATATTTTACTAGCCTGTGTCCTATCCTTCAATAAGCATATCAAAGCTAAGTCCCAAACTTCTTGAAGCGGCCAAACTTCATGCTTATATAGGTAGGTCTCTTACTCTTGCACTTGCATATGCAATTTTTCAAAATAACTATTAAGAAATAAAATATCAACCTCCTTTACTTGCAGTGCTGAACACATACCTTGGGATGAAGTGAATAATGTGTTGCAATCTTTAAATATCAAGCTTTCCACATTGAATTCAACATCTAATATTACATTAGATGGGAATTGGGTATCTTAATATGAAAGATTTCAGGTGGACTTTAAACCCATCCCCACAGTCGCTTTGTGCACAAGATCTCTAGCTAACCCTTTGGTTAGATGATCGGCTAAATTCAACTGAGTTCTCACAAACTCTACAGATATCACACCATTCATGATGAGCTCACGAATCATGTTATGTCTAACACCCAAATGTCTAGACTTCCCATTATATACTTGACTATAAGCCTTAGCCAAGGTAGCAGTACTATCACACTGGATAGAAATGGTAGATATCGGTTTGGGCCATAATGGAATTTCATATATCAAATTCCTTAGCCACTCAGCTTCTTTACCGGCTGCAGCCAATGCTACAAATTCAGACTCCATTGTTGAGTTTGTAATACAAGTCTGTTTCTTGGATGCCCAAGAAATAACACCTCCTCCAAGAAGGAAAACCCAACCACTTGTAGAAGAGTGATCCTCCAAATTGGTAATCCAGCTATCATCTGAATAACCTTCTATAACCGAAGGAAATCCACTACATGTCAAACCATAATCCATGGTTCCTTTCAAGTACTTGAATACTCGACTTAAAGCTTGCCAACAATGTGAACTAGGATTACTAGTATACCTACTAAGCTTTCCTACAACATATGCTATATCGGGCCTAGTGCTAATCATGGCATACATTAGACATCTTATAGCTCTTTGAGTTTTCAAGCTGAGACACTGGAACACCTTTATTAGGTAGAAGCTTAAGATTAGGATCTATTAGAGTGCTAACAGGAGAACAATTTTCAAAGTTAAACTATTTCAATACTTCTCAATATAATGTTATTGAGAAATTGAAATTCTATTGTTTCCTTGTTTGATTCTTATACCAAGAATCACCTTAGCCTCCCCAGGTCTTTCATATCAAAACTAGATGACAAGAATTTCTTGGTTTTATCAACCTGATTTTGATCAGTACCAAAGATCATCATATCATCTACATATAAACAAATTATAACTCCTTTACTAGAAGTATCAAATTTGCTATATACACACTTGTCAGCTTGGTTTAGTGCAAAACCATTGTTTTGGTGCTTGTTTTAGACCATACAATAATTTCTTCAACTTGCACACCTTGTTTTCATTTCCAGGCATCACAAACCCTTCAGGTTGTTTCATGTAAATCTCCTTATCAAATTCACCATTCAAGAATGCAGTTTTCACATCCATTTGATGAATTACAAGATTATGTATAACTGCAAGAGCTAACAACAATCTAATAGTGGAAATCCTAGCAACAGGAGCATAAGTATCAAAAAAGTCAATACCTTCCTTTTGCCTAAAGCCTTGGATAACCAATGTGACTTTGTACTTATCTATGGTACCATCCACTTTCATCTTTCTTTTGAGGATCCATTTACATCCTAATGCTTTGCAACCAGGAGGCAAATCAGTCAATACCCAGGTATTATTATGCATGATAGAATCAATCTCATCCTGGATTGCTTCTTTCCAGAAAGGAACATCCCTAGATGCCATGGCTTCACTAAAAGTCTTTGGATCCTCCTCAATAATAAAACAACATTGATGTTGAGACACAGTCTCATCCCTCTTAGAATTTTCTATTTTCAATCATTATTGCCTCCATTGAACATGCCCAATCATTGCCTTATTGGTTCTCCGTAATTTACGTATTCTTCTTATTGTGTTTCCATATTTGTAGTTTCGATCTGTTTTTATTCGATGGTTGTATTCGATGTATTGATAGAAAAATATATGAAACAAATGAATATCTCTCACCATCATTCTTAAGATGGTATCAGAGCGGTTCAAACAGTAAGACACAAGGTTAGTGATCGCCACCATGACAAGCAATGATGGAGGCACGAAGAAGGAATGCTCGCCGAATATTAATGCTTCGGATTACCCGAAGCAAATGCATGTCAACGACACCCTCACCGACAATAACTACACCGATTGGTCCCAAGAGATGTTAAAATTTCTCTTTGCCAAGAACAAGGTCGGATTCGTTGATGGTACATTGAAGAAACCTGAAAAAACAACCACCGATTACATGGCGTGGATGCGTTGTGATGCTATGGTAAAAGGTTGGCTCACGACGGCTATGGAGAAGGACATCAGGGGTAGCGTAAAATACGCCAACACCGCCCCTGAAATCTGGTCAGATTTACGCGAAAGGTTTGGGAAGGAAAGCGCCCCTCGCGCTTACGAGTTGAAGCAAACACTCTCCAACACACACCAAAGTGGGTCTCAGTCTCAGCCTACTACACAAAGTTGTGTGGCCTCTGGGATGAGATTGAATCTATGCTACCAGGCCCTCGTTGCACCTGTGACAAATGTTCATGTGGAGTTGGTAAAAAGATGAACGAACTACGGGAAAAGGAGAAACTATACGAATTTCTGATGGGTTTGGACGCCGACTTTGCAGTAATCAAAACCCAAATCCTTGCCATGAATCCTATACCAACACTAGGAATTGCCTATCACCTAGTTGCTGAAGATGAAAGACAAAGGATGATATCGGGTGAGAAGAAAACGCCCCCCGAAAGCGCTTCGTTCAAGGCTTTCAAACCGGTCCGGCTCGAGAACAATGCGAGTCAAAATAAAGCCGTACCAAAGTATCAGAAACGTGGAGACACGGACGAACAGTGCACTGAATGTGGAAGAAGTGGACACAAACGAGATGGTTTTTTTATCCGGATTGGTGGCCGGGTAAAGTGAAACCGAAAGCTGCTCATGTTGAGACTGAAGCTAGCTCCGTTCCAGGTCTCACAAAGGAGCGGTATCATTCCTTCTTGAAACATTTTGCTGAAAACGATGTCAAAGACGGTAGTGTTTGGATGGCTAACATGGCAGGTAAAAGGGGTTGGGATAGCGATTGGGTTGTGGATTCAGGGTCCATAAAACATATAACTCAGTATGAAACAATTCTTAATAATAAAATTGTTTGCTCAAATGAGGAACCTGTTGTTATCCCTAATGGCAATGCCACACATGTGAAGGGAAAAGGGGAATGTACCCTAGAAGGGGGGGTTAAATTAAAGGGAGTTCTTTATATCCCTGAATTTAATTGTAACCTTTTGTCAATGAGTCGATTAACCAACAATCTTCAATGCTCCATAACGTTTTCCCCGGAATTTTCTGTTATGCAGAAGCTCCACACGAGGAGCTTGAATTGGTGCGGGTAAATGCAGAAAAGGTCTATACCGAATGGGGTTGTTCAATGGCGAAAGAAGAGCTATGATGACTACCGGGAATACTTGGCATAAAAGGTTGGGACATGCATCTGCAGATAAGCTTGTTGCAATTGGTTTTCTAAAAAATATTACTTTAGACAAATTGTGTGACTCTTGTTCTAAGGCCAAACATACTAGGCTACCTTTTTCAAATAGTTTCATAAAGACAAATGCTTGCTTTGATTTGATACATTGCGACATTTGGGGAAAGTATGTACCCCATCCTTTTCGGGGGCAAACTATTTTTTGACTATTGTAGACGATTATAGTAGAGCCACATGGTTATTCCTCCTAAAACACAAACATGAAGCTAGCAAGTGGTTAAAGTTTTTTTGCAATATGGTAAAGACTCGATTTGAAAGACATGTCAAGAAAGTTAGATGTGAC